GAAATGGCAGGCCTCTGAAAACCTAATAACCTATTTTACATAATAAGTAATCTATATATATGTATATAGTTTCCTCAGGAGGCAGAGCTCATAAAATGTTTAATATTTAATATTAAACAGGGACTATTTACTATAAAGAATTATGAATTACTCATGTAGTATTGGAACAATGAGGAATTGGCCTGTGATTAAGAAATTCTAAAGAATACCATATCAGCATATATAAGGAGGAAGCATTCTCTTCAGGGTTGAGATAAGGGTCAGAATCATCCATGGATAAGAGATGTCATTGAAAAGTACACAGCCTTGGCATAGTGAAGTTGCTGAGGTGCCTCGAGAGAAGGATTTGGTGGAAACATGCCCCCTGGGATGTCTGGTGGCACAGTATATAAAAGGTCAGTGGTTCAAATCCACCAGCTGTTCCTTCGTTAAGGATTTACAGCCTTGGAAACCCAAGGAAAGGTTGTGGTGAGTCAGAACCAGCTTGAAATGCTGTGAGGTTGCTTTTGCTTTTTGAGTCATGTGGGGGAAGATTGTCCACAGGAACATGTCAAGGCTTGCAACTCACCAGGTGCCAGAGGAAGCTGATGACTACTGGACATTAATAGAACCAGGAGCTGAAAAGAGTAGCCTCCAAGGACATAGTTGTGCGTGGCTTGGACTTGAGTGGATCCAGGCCATTTATGTGGAATGAAGGTTAGACGGACAGCTCCCTTCCTGGTCAGGCCTATAGGGTTCTGAGTGTGTGGGGGGCTGAGGAGAGACACAATCCTCTGCTTTCCGAGGCTCCTGCCTCGCTTGCTACTGGCCAAGTCAAGCAGTGAAGACAGTAGTGCCCGGATAATGGATCTTGTTCTTGAGAAACCTGGAATCTGCAAGAAAAACCCTCTTCTTTGTCCAGTATCCTCACTGTAACCTCCACTGACCTGGCTTATCATCCTTCTTAACATCTGAAGGCCCATCAACCATGGCAGCAGGCAAGAAGGGTAGATATGGAGCTGACAGACAGTATGTCAGGAACTGGCACAGAGGAATGTCTGCTCTTTGCTCCACAGAGAGATACTATCTCAGTTTTCTGAACCTGTTTATTCTACAACATCCTTGAAAAGACAGTTTGGAACAAAGGGCAGTTGGTTCCTTGTCTTGTAAACATATACAAAGTGGGAAGCCAGTGGAGAATTTTATCTCTCCAAAATGATTCCTTGAACCCAAAATGCATACAGAAAGCCTCACCCCTATTCCCGTCATAAAGTATTGGAAAGTGGCTGCTTCTTTAGATTATACTTTCTTTTAGCTTTTTAAACTGTGGTTTTAATGAAAGTTTACAGAAAAGTTGGATTTCATTTGTTCATTGTTGCACATAGATAGGGAACTGCCAGAAGTTCAAGCAGGATTTAGAAGAGGTCATGGCACCAGAGATATCATTGCTGTTGTCAGATGGATCCTGGCTGAAAGTAAGGAATACCAGAAGAACGTGTATTTGTGCTTTATTGATGATGCAAAGGCATTTGATGTGTGGATCATAACAAGTTGTGGCTGACATTGAGAAGAATGGGAATCCCAGAGCACTTAATTGTACTCATGCAGAACCCATACCTGGATCAGTTGTACAAACAGAGCAGGGTTAACACTGCATGGTTTAAAATGGAAAAGAGAGTGCATCAGGGTTGTATTCTCTCTCCATACCTATTCAATCTGTATGCTGAGCAAATTATTTGAGAAGCTGGACTCTATGAAGAGAAGTGTGACATCAGGATTGAAAGAAGACTCATCAGTAACCTGTGTTATGCAGATGGCACAACCTTGCTAGCTGAAAGTGAGGAAGACTTGAAGCACTTGTTGCAGAAGATCAAGGAACATGGCCTTCATTATAGATTTTGTTTTAGTGTCAAGAAGACAAAGATTCTTAGTACTGGACCAATAGACAGTGTCATGATGGATGGAGAGGAGATTGAAACTGTAAAGAGCCTAATCTTGCTTAGATCCACAATTAACATCCTTGGTACCAACAGTCAGGAAATAAGGAGATGCATTGCACTGGGAAAATATGCAGTTAAGGTCCTCTCCAAACTATTAAGGAGTAAAGGATGTCAGTTTGAGGACTAAGGTGAGGCTGATTCAGGTCATGGTCTTTCTGATTACTTGCTGTGCATCTGAGAACTCGATAATGAATAAGAAAAAAAAAAAAGAATTGATGCCTCTGAGCTGTGGTGTTGGAGAAGAGCACTGAACATCCCATGGACAGCCAAGAGAATGAACATATATGTCTTGAAAAGGGTGCAGCCAGCGTG